ATACAAATCGAGATGTTTTTTGTACTTCAGTGTTTAAACAATGTCATGTGATTCTCACTAAAGGGAGTATTCCAGCAATTCATAATTTGGTTCCTGTGTTAGGTAAGGGAAAAGAAATTGTCTGCTCAGGTTTCAAATGAGAAGAAGAAGAATTTATCTCCTAAGGCATTTCTTTAATCTCCATTGAAAGATATTATATTTGGAATGGATGCTCAAGCAAACAATTTAGAAGCTTTGTCATCCACAGGTTTTAAATTGAAGGTTAATCAATTTTTGAAGCATTATATTATTACTGAAAATTAGGATGGTTTGAATTTAATTATTGATAGGTCAATTCTTGATAAGTACTTGGATTCTGATGTTAAAACTCATACAAAGAAGAGTATGGTGGCTTTACTGAATTTTGATAAATTTGCAATCAACAAGAATGGCTTTGTGAATGCATGGGTTAAGACTCAGCATATCAAATTGAATCATATGGAATCGGATTCTGGAGAATTAGAAGATGCTTATGTGATTGAACTTAATATGGATAATGAATTTGAAATGTTCAACTGCTACAGAAGTCTCTTATGGTGAAAGTAATTGGGAGGTATGCTACATTTTCTCTCTGTAATATTGAATTGAGGCATTAATGGAATAAATTCGGGAGCTTTCATCTTACTTTATTGGGCCAAGATTTGAAATTGTGTTCTTTTCAATCATCTAAATCTATGGAAGAAGTACTGAGTGGAGGACTCTGGTATGTTGGATGACATATAATAGGGATGGATAAATGGATGCCTAAATTTTCCCCAATCTTGTTGAAAGGGTTATCCTCACTAATTTGGATTTGGTTGCCACATTTGCCTTTACATTATTCTGATGAGACTAATGTTACTATATTAGTTTGAAAGATAGGTGTTTCTATGTTTTAAAATTGAAATATGTTTAAATGGGAAAGACGAGAATTTTCTAGAGCCTACGTTTGAATTAATCTAGACTTTAAATTATTTGATGGAGTTTGGATTGAAAGTTTATACAGGAAATTCTTTCAGATAGTGGAGTATGAAAAAAATTTCTTCATTTCGTTTAAAATGTGGTAAGAATTCAAGTTGGATGGTTGAAGTGGCGGAATGCATCGGGCTTGTTATGTGATAGAAATGTACCCCTCAAACTTAAGGGAAAATTCTATAAGATGGTAGTGAGGCCTGCAATGCTTTATGGTGCCGAATGTTGGCCATTAAAAGAGAAGCATAATACTAAGTTAAGTGTGGCAGAGATGAGGATGCTTAGATGGATGAGTGGCTTTACCCTTAGAGATAGGATACGAAATGAGCATATACGTGAAAAGGTTGGAGTAGCTCCAGTAGAAGATAAGATTAGAGAGAGTCGCCTTAGATGGTTTGGTCACATAAAAAGGCGGCCTTCCGACGACCCAGTTAGGAGAGTAGAGGTATTAGATTTGACTTGTGTTAAGAAAGGTAGGGGTAGACTTAAAAAGACTTGGTTAGAAAATATTAGGAATGACCTTTCTTTATTAGATTTAAACAAGAATTTGGCTTTTAATAGGACACAATGGAGAAAAAGGATTCATGTAGCCGACCCCACGTAGTGGGATAAAGGCTTGATGTTGTTGTTGTTGTTGTTGTTGTTGTTTAAAATGTGGTAAGATAGTCCATAAAGTTGATGTGTCATGATGTCCATGAAGAAGGTTAATCTAATGTCCAAAAGGAAGTATAGAGTAACGGCTGCCAGGCAAATGGTTTAGAATTTGCTAGAAGAAGGATAAAAAATGTCTTGATTGATAAAGCTACTAATATAGATTAAGAAACTTGTTAAGGTCCTTGGATGCATGTGAAGTTTAGGAAAAATAGAAGAATGAATAGTGGCCAGAATTATGATTTCATGATTAAAAAATCTGGAGTTCAACAAAATTTTTGGAACCTTGGGAGTAATTTTTCTCATGATCATAAGGCATCTGTGAACGTACCTTCATCCAATAAGTTTAATTTATTATTTCATGATTTACATGATGAAATGGCTCGAATGGATACTAAATTAATATCTGAGGGAGTATTTCTGAGCCCATAAAGTTAAAAGAACCACTTATAACCGAGGCAATTCTTTTTGTTGCTAAAAATTCAATATAAGAGAAGGGAGGTATAGCGAAATTTGAAGATGTTGGAGATGCAGGTCAAAGTATTAGTGAAGATACCATGAAAACTATTTTGAGATATGATGAAGACTTTGTGCCTCAAATTTATGCTGAAGGAAAGGATGGTATTATGCTTCAAGCTTCTCTTGAAGCTAACGGGAAGTCGGATGACAAACAGAGATCTGAGGATTTTATGGTGAGTGATCTCCACATAAGTTGGAAGAATTTGGGATTAAGTCACCTCTCAATAATGATGATCCTAAGATAAGTTCAACATCTTCTTATCTTGTTAATAGTAATACAAATATAAGTTCATTTAGTGTGAAATAGAAAATTACTAAACAACTTAAATTCTTAGGACCTATTGAGGATATTCCTAAGAAAAACAAAATTAATTTTAATCTGAAGAGTGGTCGAGGTGAACCATCTTTTTTTGTTTCTTTATGTCAACCTTTGTTCTTTGGGATGGTAGAGGAGCTAATATTATGGAAGCTTCTCTTTATATCAGGGAAACTGTGATGTATAATGAAGTTTGCTTTATTGATTTAGTTGAAACTAAAACTAAAAAATCAACTTATGTTATTTAGTTCTCCTCAAATCAAGAAGATCTGAAATAAATAATTGAAGAATCGGTTCCTAATCCTTCTCGTAATACTAAGGATAATATGGGTAATCAATGTTTGTATAAGTATTTGGTTGCATCACCTACTGTGGAGTCTTCGGTGACTGCTGATCCTGTTATAAATATTTATCTTTTAAATGAATTCATTTTTGATTTGAATACAAGAGGGGAATCTACTTCTACAGTGGTAGTTGAAGATGTTTCCTTTGGCGAGGTACTGGAAGATGATGTTGATTTTATAATATTTTTTGATAGATGAGAGTAGTTTTTTTTTTTTTTTTGTAGTTTTTTATTTGCATTATGGAATTATAGTAATGATATTTGGGATTCTTACTATTTTTAACTTTTTATCTATTTGGGGACTCTGGAATATTAATCAACCTACTAGGTTATTTAATATTTGGTGTACCCATCACCCCAATTGGTTCAAATGGAGAAATAGTGGATCTCAATTCCATTATGATAGTTTCATTTTGACAAATATTTTGTTCTATAGGCTCTTTTGCTATTTAATAAGGTTTATATCCCTATGTTTCGATTGGAAACTCATAGTTTTTTTTCCTTTCTAGATTTTAATAGTTTTTTTCTTTCCTGCTGTTAATGCAATTTGCATTTCTTCAAAAAAAAAACAACAATAACAAAATTCCTTTTAATACATCCCAATCCTATTTCACAGTGGTATTTGAATGTATATTATAATACACATATAACCTAATAGAACTTTCAATGTGCCCTTAAAACTAGAATCTGAGTATAGAACATAGTATACATAGCACCTAAGAGTACTCTTATCTTGCATATAGTAGCAAAATATATCTTTTATTTTGTCAATTTTTTTGATAATTTATTAAGAAAAATAAGGAGTATAAGAGAGTAAAAACTTGCAAAGACAAAAAAGTACCCATGCTTCCCTAACAACAAAATGAAAGGTGGGAAAACAACCAGACATGGAAAGCAAAAAAAGAAATAACAAAAGAAAAAAAAAAAAGAAAAAAAGAAAAGATACCCCGTAATTGTTAATGTGAGGTCCACAAAGGAGGGAGAAGACCTCAACCAAGGTCAATCTAGGTGACCAAATCCCTGCTCAAGAACTCAGTTACTTTTTCTCTTTTTAGGGCAACAGTAATAGAACCCAACTGCAATTCTTTATGTAATGAATTATGAGATAACCTAGTTATTTGCTTGGAAAAATTTAGGCTTTTTGAGGTGATATTCCTCTATTGAGAATTCTGATCCGTAAAGACAATAAGCTTTTGGATGGACACACCAGACATTCGAATGGGGCACCTCTTTTCCTACTCAAGGCCTCTAGAAGGTGAAGAAGGGAGTTTGGCTTTTTTGATTGGGCTTTCTCCTTGAAGTGACAATGTTCCATGTTACCAATTGATCCACATCAGAAGATGGCTGATGGGTAGACATAGGAATGCCATTATTTGGCACTTCCATCACACTAAATGGAAGAATGGTGTCAATAAGGCTATTAGGCTACAACTTAGCCTTATAAGGGAAATAATCCAATTTATGGAAAATAAAACCACAATGGAAACATAAATGAGAAAGTCCCTTACACTCCACTCTTTTAAAAAAAAATTCTATTAAGATCCTTAATCAGAAATCTAGAGGAGAATTGCTATGTCAAATCAATGCGGACACATATTATAGCATAAGAACACTGACCCCAAGAGGATGATTTCTCATCCATCTAAAGAGGTTCACCAGCCATGGAAGCCATATATGCAATATTTGAAGGATCTAAATACATTAAATGAAGATGAGGAAACCATACCCAAATCGACAATGCAAACCCCTTCAAATCATCAAGAGAAAAGGAATGCAATCATCTATCTTGTCTAATAATGCTTCCAACCATAATCCCAGGACCACACCTGAGGATGATATCATGAGCATCAAGGTTTTGAAATATACAAATAAAGTAATTTAGAGCAAACTCCAACATGTGACCATCTCTTTGAGAGTTCATCATGAAGCCAAGAAAAAGAAATCCGCATACCTAGAAGTTTCCCAACTATAAGCACATTCGAATTTAGAAATATTTTCTTGAACTTTATCAAGGTTGAGGCTCAAGAAAAGGCCACCCTCTTCAAGCACCTCTTCTTTGAGAATCTTATTTAAAGGTGTATACGAAGGCTTCCTCAAACTAAAATGGATTGGGTTTCAATCACAAAACACACAAGACTACTTTAGGGAGTGTTATTTGGAAGATTGATGTTGAAATTTTGCTTCTCAACCTATAAGATTATTGAAATTTCATTTGAAACATTTCCACAAACATTTGTTGAGCATTGTCCTATAGCTAGGGTCTCTTGAGATAAGGCAATAAGATTTTTCACACACCTGCATAAGGATAAACAAGGTAAGCTCTCCTCCAAAACATCCACAACAGTGTTCAAATCATTATCAAGGTATAAAAAAAGTAGGTCCAGTTTAGGATTATTGACTTACATAAGAGAAAAGTAGTCTGACTTTAAAATGAGGGGATGAAGGGAGCTATGCCAGACCTAAATCATTTGGATCAGCAAAGATCTCTACGATGTCTCAATTGACATTGGACCCAACATAGGAAGAATGAAACAAGTCGTTGTCCTTAATCAGCTGCTCATGAACCTCTAAAGACATAATATAAACCAATATTACCAGATTCTCATCCTTCAAGACCTGTTCATAGACATCTAGTTCCTTCCCTTCCAGAACTTTCCAAAAGTTGCATGATTTGAAGCTTTCTTACAACCAGTTTCCTAGCCGGAGCGAAGAGAAGACTATTGGACACTTATCCTCACCATGAAGATGAAGAAGAATAATGAACTATAGAGAAGCTCAGTAACGGTGCCATTTTTCCTTCATGACCATAATATAGCTTTTAGCTAGTAAAATATGCCATACATGTATCATTATAGATCTTCCATAGCTTTTTCCTTATTCACACCAAACTTCCTCAATCTTTTTATTTCACCCAACTGAGAATAGTCAAACAATATTTCATTTCATTACCAAAATAAAAACCCTATTGACCATATTTTAGAATTTCTCCAGAGTTTAAATAGTAGGCAACAAAAAACTCTATTGAGACAAAATATATCATTTTAATTATTTAACAAAATTTCTAGAGAATGTGTATAATAGTATTTTGAAGCTTTAATCAGATTAAATTAATATTGTTAAATGTGAAAATAAAATTTTGAATTGAATAAAATGTCCACTTTTCTAATTCTACAAAAAAAATAATGTATAAAGATTCTAAATAACTAGAACAGTCGTATTAAAATTATATCAAAAGTTATACAGGTAAAAGTTATCAAAACTTAACAGGGCTAGTTTTTTTGTAAAAATAAATTATAAATTTGATAAAAAAAATTCCATAAAACACTAGATTGTTGAATGCTGATATATGCAAATCATAATCTATCTCAATTTAGATAACGTTTCAAACTAAGGTGGCTACTAAAAATGATCTAAAGTGGCTCAATCAAAATTATGTACCTACCAAAGTCCTCTTTTTCTCTCTCTAACATTGACTATCAAAGCTTCCAAATGAGTTTGACTGATGGATTTGGAATTTTTTTAATATTAACAATTACTCTAGTGCTATGGCACCTTGCTTTGCAAGACATAGCGCTCAACATAAATTCATAACTTTATCTCTCACTCTGACATAAGTGTGCTAAATTTCATTTTTTTCTCTAGAATTCAACATCGGAGTGCCAAAACATAGTTCTGGGGTGCTCCAGGGAAAATTCAAATTTTTCTGAAATGCGTTGAAACACCTTAAATCTATGACATAACATACATAGTCCTTCACATGCATACGAACTAATCTAAGACACAAGCAGAAGAATTAAAGTTCAAAAAATTAATAGATTACTAGAATCTTATATAAGTCATATAAGTTTGAATAGAACTCTCAATTTGGAGGTCTCACAACTCTTCCCTCAGAAATATTTCTTCCCCGACATTTCCAAATAAAAAGTAAGAGTAAATATGGATATAGTTGTCTTATTGATGAGTGTAAATTGATTTTTATAGTTATGTTAAATGTAGAAAAAATATTATTTTGGTGGTGTTGGTATAGGAATAATGTAGGAAAAAAACCAAATTTAAAGTGTTGGGTAGCATCGCATCACTAATAAGGTTTATGTCACAATGCCATATCTATCAACACTAAACCACCAATTTCAATGTAATGGTGAAAACCTTTTCTTTTTGTAAGCATCACGACATTATAGAATCTAGTGCCACTATGTCCAAAGTAAGCACCACAACATTTGGTGTCTCGGTAAAATTCTTGTAGGAGAAAGAACCTTTCCAATTTAGCGATACTAGAAGGTCGTTCCTAGCACCACAATGCTCAAATTTATAGCACTAAGGTAGAGCAGTTACAAGTGCTAAGAGCCACGCCAACATAATGATGAGATTCACCCATTTGGGCCATAACATTATCACATCACTTAGCACCGCAACAATGCAGACACTCCAGTTCTGAGGTGCTAGTTCACTTTTGTATGTCACAACACCACTTTATTAAGCACATCATTGCTCCAGTCCAATCTTGTACTTACTATATATAGATATCAGCTCTATTATTTATAGAATTTAGTTTCCTGAGTAAAAAATTAATATTTTTTAAGTATATTTTCTTACTGTGCCATTAGAGTAAAGTCTAAGGCATGTAAGGGAAGTGTAAGATACAATCTCTGGGAGAGTTTAACCTATGTTTGTATAAGTAAATCTATATGTGGTGGAAGAAGGATTGTAGAGAAAACATTTTGATCCAATCTAGTGATAAATTTTTTACTACTCTTTTACTTTGCTCTTTTATGAATAAAGTGAGTGTGAGTTTGCCTAATATTTTTTATTTCAAGCTAGATCTGTTATTTTTGGCTCATGATATAGAGAGCATATAAAATACTAATATTGACTCTTATTCTTTAATATAAATAAAGATATTTTAAATATCTTACTTTCTTTTTTTTATGCATACAATAGTCATGTGCGTAGTTAAAACTTAGTGTGATGTATAGCCTCAATTAAGAAATGCAAGAATAATTAGGAATATTAAAATATAATTTTTGCATTCCAAGATATAGGATATTAAAATATTCTAGGTTTTATGGAGATAATAAAATTGTAGGAAGACTAACAATCTTTTTTTTTTCACTCTTACAAGCTTAATAGAGACGTAGCAATGCACATGGTCTTATCTACATCTATAATTAAGATTTTCTTTAGGAGAAATATGTTATTTAAATGCATCGATCAAAATATTTTATCAAAAATATATCAATTATTTATATTTATTTCTATTCAATGGTTGGAACTCAAAAATATTATTTTTTTAATTCAATAAGAAAAACTCATGCATTTAGATTAAGCAATAGTAATTTTGCTACAGTATGGAAGAAAACTTTCCTATGGGTTTTACTTTATTCTCTATTACTTTATCACTTGATTTGATGCAGATACTTGCATAAATTAGTGGACTATTACAAATTATATTTGAAAAAAACCCTAACATTATTTCAAATTCAATGAATTTTATATTATCTCACCATTATCTTATCACATTGTATGCCTCCATCAAGTTTTTTGGCATCGTTGTAAGGAAAGTTTTGTATTTATTGCAATTTAATATATTGTGTAAATAAGTGTATATTTGGACCAACTTATATGCTGAAACTTTATTCGATTTTAAAAAAAATTAAAAATCTATTCTTTTTTTTGTTTTCGTTGGTTTAGTTTCTACTTTTAGTTACTATAACTTATGGTATGTTTGGTAGAACTTATTAGGAGCCTTTATTGTTTGGTAAAGAAAAATAAAGGAACCTTTCAAAAAAATTTTTTTTTTTTTAAACCAAGTCTAACCCAATTCAATATCAAGATCACGCTAGACCTTTTAGGGTGTATGTTAATCTTGTAGTAGAAGGAATTCATCAGAGTATCAATTGACCAACTATGTAAGTTAAAAATATTAAATTGAAATCAAATATTATCTAAATGGTTCAAAATCTCTAGTTTGGGGGAACTCTTTTTGAAGATCCTAATTTATATTTAGATAGTTTCCTAGAAATATATACAACTTTTTAGAGTAATACTGTCAGTAATGAGGCCATTAGACTTAGACTTAGAAATGATATCATTTCTTTTGCTCAGTCTGAAGGAGAATCTATTTATGAAAGTTGGGAGAGATTTAAGTAGATTCTTAAGAAATTCCCTCACCATGCTTTACCCTATTGGTTGGTAATTCAAATTATTTATAATGGATTAGTATGATCTATTTGGTCATTCATAGATGCTACAACTTGAATATCTTTAATGTAGAATCCATTTCAGGATGCTTATAAATTGATAGAAGAAATGACTACTAAAAATTTTTAGTGATCTACTGATAAGGTGAATCCTAAGACAGCTGTTAAAATTTATGAATTAAAAGCTTTGTTAATTTAAACTACTTATAGCTACTATTTTAAGGAAATTAGATATTATAAAAGTCAGGGCTAGACCAAATAGGAATAATAATTACCTTAACTTAGCTGCTGATCCTAGACATATGAACGTCATGGTATTGTATTATGTAGCATCGATATCGTAGTGTTACCCTTTAAGTTTTGAATAAATTAATCATGTTGGGAATGGGAAGATACCTTTAGATGTTGTTATGCAATTAATAATTTGACTGCAATATCAGTCAATTACTCTTAAAAAATAGAAAATCATAGAGAGCATCTTATTGAATTATTTAATAATAAAAAATTAGAAGAATAATATTTTAATATCCAATAAAGAATTGTGAGAGATTTGGGAGACCCATACAAGAATACAGATCTTCCTCAAAAGAATAATGGTGAAGGAGAACATCTAAAAAGTGAATCCTCTATTGAATTATCTAACCTTGTAAAAAAACTTGAAAACCCAGTTGGGAAGGTTGTGGGAGACCTCAACCACCTTTTTCTCAGAGGTTGATCAAATACAATTTTGATAAATAATTCTCTAAGATCTTAGAGGTGTTTAAAAAATTAACTATGAACATATCCATCTCTAAAACTTTAGGGCAGATGCCCACCTATGAAAAATTCATGAATGATATTTTGAATAACAAAAGAGAGTTAGGTATCAATTTGAAATTATAGCATTAACTAAAAATTGTAGTACTATAATTCAAAATTTTTTTTCCAAGGTAATATAAAGATCTTGATAATTTCACTAATCATTTATCTATAGGCGATAAATTATATGGAAGAGCTTCATGTGATCTAGGATCAAGAATCAATCTCATTCCTATTTAAATTTTTAAATGTTTAAATATAGGAGAGGTTCAAACTACTTGTATTACTTATCAATTAGCTGATATATCTTTCAATTATCTAATAAGGGTAATAGAATATGTTTTGATCATGGTTGGTAAATTTATTTTCCCTATAGAATTTATTATGCTTGATATGAAAGAAGATAGAAAAATGCCTCTTATTTTAGGAAGACCATTCTTAGTCTCTGGGAAAGTCATGATTGATGTGTGAAAAAGAGAATTAACTATGAGAGTTCAAGGTCAAGAGGTGACCATTGATTTTCTAAAATTTATAAAATTTACACAATACAAGAATATACATTATTTTAGAGTTGATTTAGAAGATATTATTGTGGAGAGTTTAGAAGAAGAACTGTTAAAAGAAAATTCATCAAAAGAAGGTTGAAGGGAATTATGATAAATTAATAGAATCTATTTCAACAATTGAAAGCTCAAAACTATTTATAGAGAAGTTTAAAGGTTTAGAGACTGCATCTTTGGGTAAAACTTTGAGATCTTCTTTAAATGTAGCTCTTATCTTAGAGCTTAAGATTTTACAAAGCTTAAGGTTTGTTACTTTAAATGATACCCACCTATGCCTTGCTTGGTAACAACTCAACTCTTCATGTTATCATTTCTAAAAATTTTAAAACAAATATTAGGAAAGTAATTTATTAGGATTTTAAGTAATTTTAAAAGAGCTTTTGTGATGACAATTGTTAAAATCAAAGGAATAAGCTTTTAAATTTGTATGCATAAAATTTTAATGGAAGCTAAGTCATTAGCAAAAGCTAACCATCAAAGTAGACTTAAACCTTCCAAGAAAGAAGTTGTTATGAAAGAGATTCTTAATTGGCTTGATGCTGAGATTTTCTATCCTATTTCTAATAATTCTTGGGTGAGCCTTGTTCATCGTGTTCCTAAAAAGGGTGGCTTAACTATTATATCAAATGAACATAATGAACATATTCCTACTAGAATAGTCATTAGGTGGAGGATTTGTTTAGATTATAGAAAATTTAATTAGGCCACCAAAAAGATCATATGCTAGATAGGTTGGCATGGTATTCATTTTATTGCTTTCAACATGTATAATCAGGATATCATCCGTTTCCTATTGCAATTGAGGACCAATATAACCTTCACAAATCCTTATGAAACATTTTCTATTAGGAGAATTACATTTGGTCTAGACATTCTATTGAAAAGCTTGCATTAATAGAGTTTGAAATTAATGAAAAATTTCTTTATGAATATTTATTTGCTCTGCATCTAAATAGGCAACCATGGTGTGCTGATATTATTTATTTCATAGTTAGTGGTATACTTCGAGGTGATTTATCTTCCATACAAAAGAGAAATTTTTTTACATTATACTAAAAATTATTTTTGGGATGAATCATATTTATTTAAGGCTAGTAATTAAAAAATATTTTTAAAATGTATCCATGAGGAAGAAATAAACCATATAATTAGGGAATATGATAATTCTCATCATGGAGGACATTTTGGATGTTTTAGAATTTCTTCTAAAATACTCCAATATAGAATTTTTTTTGTCTTACTCAATTTAAGAAAGTTAATCAATATATTAAAATATATGATCAATGTTAAAGAGCAGTCAATAACTTAAGAAGAAATAAAATGCCTTTGAACTATATTTTGGAGGTTCAGATATTTACTATTTGGGAATTAGACTTCTTGGGACCTTTTGTGCAATATCATTAAAGTTAATATATTCTTATTGATGTGGATTATATTTTAAAAGGATTGAAGGAGTGGTAATCATTAGAATTGATGCTCAGGTTGTGATTAAGCTTTTAAAGAAAAGTATTTTCTTTTCGGTTTGGAATGCCTAGAGTTTTAATTAGTGATGGATAAAGTCATTTCTATGATAAAAGTATAGATGCAGTAGTAAGAAATTTGGAATTCTACATAGCATTGTAATTTCTTCTCATCCTCAAACCAATGATCAAGATTAGATTCATAATAAGGAGATTAATTAGATTCAAAAAAAAAAATTGTCAATTATAATAGGAATTTGAAGGATTGGGCTAGTAGGTTAGATGATGAATTATGGCCCTATAGAAATGAATTTAAGACTCATACTAGTATGTATCCCTATAAATTACTTTTAAAAAAAATCTTATCACATTCCTGTAGAATTAAAACACGAGGCATTTTGGGCTATTGCAGAATTGACTTTCATTTTTGATGGAATAAAAGATAAAAGATTAATATTATTAAATTAATTAGAAGAAATAATTGAAACTATTAAAATTCCTTATGAAACTGTTAAAATTCAAGATAAAAAAAGTTTACTATTTTTAAAGATTAATGATCAAAGACTGAAACCCTATTTTGATGAGGACATAGATCGATCGAGAAATGTAACTTAGTTGGTTCAGTCTGAAATATAATAATTGGTATACTATGGCCAAAGTCAATAAACATAAGGAGGATGGGAGGCAACCCACTTATGTTTGATGTTTAGTATAGCTGAAGACTAGAAACTTAGTTCTGATTGGTGGAAACTCACTTATTTTATCTATTTTCATTCACTATTAGTACCCTATTATTATTTCATATTTATTTTACATCTTATTAATTTTTTTTGTGTTTAAATATTTGCATATTATTCTCTACAATTATTGCACATCATTTCCTATTAAAAAATAAAAATTATAAATTAAAATTATGAAAATTAGGGTAATGATAAAACCCTATATTATATTTTCAATGAACATTACCTAATAACTCCTATTAAAAAAAAAACATGACACTTAACTATTTTATATCATTTAAGTTAATGAATTATCTTTGAATTTTGAAACTATATATTAACTATTATTAACAAGTGAATTGAAATTAATAAAAAGATATAAGGATTAGATACAAGTAGCTTAAATTTGGGAAATCATAATTATACTTGAAATTGTAACTAGAGAATTGATAACTGTAAATAATTTTATATTTTATGTATTAATTTTTTAGTGAAAATTAATTTTTTTTGTTGTTTTTGTGCAAAAAACTGCATGAAATGGGCCAAATTTTTAAGTATGGCATAGTGTCGTGATGTCTAACACAATACTACCTTGGTTCCATCCTCGACAACTTTGAAGCTCCCAAATATGGAAATGGGGGCACCTAGTCTCTATTTGATTGCGCCATAGCACCGGAGCACTTAGCGTCGCAAAGCCTAGCAAAATATCCCAATATCGTAGTGTCTGAGAAGTCAGCACCATAAAGCCCAATATTTGTCTATATAACTACGACTCCAAATTCTAGTGCTGCTAAGTCAAGGGAGTTCCACATTGATGTTGGAACATTCATAGATCAATAGCACCACAGTACTATATTTGTAATAGTTTGAGCTATAATTTGACAGGAAAGAAACACATTGATTCATTAAATTATAGGTCCATGTCAGTATGCACCATAGTGGAGGAAACCCTTCAATCCTATGATGTTCATTTTATGGATGTTGTGGCATGCTAGCATCTCAATTGTTGTGTTACTAGAATAGATTTTATGTATTTTTTATAAATAGTTTGTACATAATATTGGTATGATATTTTGATCACTTGTTTAATTTCAATATTTATTGTACTTTTTTTTATTTTTTTTCTTAGTAGTGATAACTAAGGGAGTTTAGAGAAATACTAGATACATTCCATTGGAGTGTTTTGCTTATATCTTTATTATACTTATGTAAGTTCAAGGAGTATAGAAGAGATCATTAAACCGTATGGTCTTCATTTAATCCATGTAGTGACCATATGTGTAGTTAATATTAGATGTAATGTGGACAATAGGAGTAGGAAAGAAGGCACAACCATGTATATTTGATTAGTATGATGCATGCATAGGCATAATGCCTGCCAGTATCAAATTTATAGAGATGAATTATCATGAGGTGATTTTAACAATATATGCTTTACT